TCGAGTTGACCAAGTTGACCGAGTTGATCGAGTTGATCGAGGTAGTGGACCGAGTTGACCGAGTTGATCGAGTTGACCAAGTTGACCGAGTTGATCGAGTTGATCGAGTTCACCGAGTTGACCGAGTTGACCGAGTTGATCGAGTTGACCAGGGTAGTGGACCGAGTTGACCGGGTTGACCGAGTTGACCGAGTTGATCGAGTTGACCGAGTTGACCGAGTTGACCAGGGTAGTTGACCGAGTTGACCAGGAGTTGACCGAGTTGACCAGGGTAGTGGACCGAGTTGACCGAGTTGACCGAGTTGACCAGGGTAGTGGACCGAGTTGACCGAGTTGACCGAGTTGTAAACTGACGTGTTCAAATTAATATACTAGTATACAAAAAATCCATTTGGTATCTGGTATATGTGCAGACTCTCACGTGCTATATTGAAAAATTCATATAAAGATGTAACCGATCATTGCATATTCACAACACGGGATATCATACAAATGAGATATCACACCGACCGACATACACCGCCGTAGTACCGTATAAAGTCACTCCACTAGATTACAACCCCAACATGTATGCACCTAACACCTTAGTAGGTCGGTTTAATGGGTTTAAAATGTAACCTATGGCAGTGCTCATAAATGATGCACAGGAAGACCATATCATACTCTTCCAGGATAATGTACGCCACTACTAATGATAGCGATTGAGAGACAACGACATATTACCTGAATTTATTGTTGAAATTGAGATTGAGAAAGTTGACAAATATCTAAATACTCCAGTTACATTTTACCCACTAGTTCTTGTTCTAATCAAGGGCGTTATATACTGTATAATGTCCTTGTTCCATATCGAGGACATTATATTGCTCGTATCACGCGATTCACGACCGATTTGAAGTACCTGGTACCGCGACACAGCGAGTGTAGGAGGTCAACAAAGGTCTTACCTGTCTTTCAAAACTATCCAGAGTTGATACAGTGCCTAAGTAAGATGGAAATCGCCTCAGATTGGAGAGAACAATGACACCACACGCACGGCTCAAAAATGGCGGTTAACGTTCAGCGTCAGCATAGGTCAATCCAATCGAGGGCAAAGGTTAAAGGTGACAAACCTGATTATACGGGTTGTGTAGTTACGGACGCCTTGTCGGATAAGGAATTTTTCAGGTATATCAGTTTAAACAATTGTCCATGCTATAGTTAATACAATTATAGTAAAATAGAGACGAAGAAAAATTAGGAAAAAGAAGATATTTGCGAAGGAGATGCCGTAATGATGATGATTAGTTACGAGATATAACGAGTTCTTTACTAATTTACTAAGGGCTAATTGGAAACAGACATGGAACAATGAATACAGAATGTGGTGAATTTAAGACTATAATTATGCTAACATGCTAATAACTTATACGGTCTGCTTATTTAACTTACTATATCTACTTTAAAACTAGCATGACGTTGGTGTACATGGTAAAGAGTGGACATGATTCACATAAATAGGTTAAAGGTGAAAAACCTGATTACCCGGGTCCAGGATTCTGTTGTTACGGACGCCTTGTCGAACATTGCATTTTTCTGGTATATCAGTTTAAACGATTATCCATGCTACAGTTAATAGAATTATATAGTGGTGAACGCACGATGTTACGTGACTGTGCTGATTTGTATAGGAGCAATACTTCTTAGGAAAAGAGTACAGCATGGAAAAAATGAAAGCGATGATGACAAATAAATAAGGCACATAACGCGCTTTATTGTTGACACTGGGATGCAAAAAGTTGACAAATCTCTAATTCTAAGCTACCTCTACCTTGCAGAACTACAGTAAAACAAACAGTTTCATGCATTAATAAGTAACATGCCCCAACTGTAACCAAACGCTAAATATCTACAGATACTATTTACAGATACTATAACAAGAAAACTACATGTAGTCAACTAAGTTCTATAACAGACGGACAGTGACACATTGACGTTAAATGAACGGTGTCCTGCCATGTAACTATTGTCTAAATACTACAGTATTACATTTTGCACATGACTTCTAGCTCTATCAACAGGCTACGAAGCATCCATCAATCGTTATATAAAATCACCTCTATTGCGCTATAACTCCACAGTAGAGTCATGTAGAGAGTACACTACTACATGTAGATCAAACAGTCAGGACATTTAAAGCATCGCCACTCAGTAACCGTTACAAAGACACTGACAGTCTTTCGCCGGAGTGTTTTCAGTTGGCACTCTTACGAAAGCTTTTGTTGCCTTTTAACACATGTACGGTTTCTCCACTCTGTGAGTTCGCACGACGTGTCTCTTTAAACTGCTGCTTGCGGTGAACTGCCTGCTGCACTCCTCACATCTGTACGGTTTCTCACCAGTGTGAGTCCGCATGTGTTTCTTCAGACTATCCAGCACACTGAACTGTCTGCCACACTCCTCACACTTGTACGGTTTCTCACCTGTGTGAGTCCGCATGTGTCGCTTCAGAGTACCCAGGTCGCTGAACTGCCTGCTGCACTCCTCACACGTGTAGGGTTTCTCACCGGTGTGGGTCCTGATATGAGACCTCAGATGAGCAAGCATTCTGAAGCACCTGCTACATTCCTCACATTGATACGGCTTCTCACCAGTGTGAGTCCGCATGTGTCTCTTCAGCTGACTCAGCTCACTATAGCTTTTGTCACATTCCTCACATCGGTAAGGTTTCTCACCTGTGTGAGTCCGCACGTGTCGCTTCAGATGACTCAGCTGACTGAAACTTTTGTCACATTTCTCACACAAGTACGGTTTCTCACCCGTGTGAATCCGCATATGTGTCTTCAAATTACTCAGCATGCTAAAGCTTTTGTTACATTCCTCACATTGATACGGTTTCTCACCTGTGTGAGTCCGCATGTGTCGCATCAGATTACTTCGGTTAGGAAACTCCATGCCGCACTCGCCGCACTTGTGGGCACGAAGAGAATCCTGTTCTCCACGCCCATTCTCTTCCTCCTCATGTTTAAGATGGAATTCCGCTGTCGCCATGTTGATCTGAACCTACAGCAATAATATTAAATTCAACATTAGAGATTTGATTTTGATTAGAGAACATATTGGCGCCAAAATGAGACATTGTATTCGAGAAACACTACAGTTTTTATAACACACATAAAAATATAAAATACCTACAACACCTGATTCTCCTGAGTCTGGTTTCATACTGCAAGCTGATGGATTGACTTCTTTATTCATAAGTATTTAAAGAGCCAGTTTAGTATCAATATCAAAGAAAGAATTCGACATGTAGAAAAAAGTTCTTCGCCTGTAGATTTATAATATACGTGACCTACAACAAGATGCCACATGGCAGTAAACACAGGAAAACAAAACCATAGTCGGCACTTACCAAGATCCACTGACGCTACAAAGTACTGCACGATGTTTTCACGACGGCACAGATCCTCACGGCTGCAGAGTCAGTACTGACAGAAACAGAGCAGTCAGGGACGCGTTTATATGGGGACTGGGTGGGGGGATAAAACCGGTCCGGTGGGTTTTACTTGATATAGACACAAAGGAAAGCACTATGCTGATTTGCATAGGGAAGAATCAGACAACATCATTCGTAGGAAAACGGACCAAGTTGGAGACTAACAATTACGAGAACAACATATTACGTGTCTGAATTTATTATTGAAATTATCATATTACATGCGCTCAATAGCAAAGGGGCAAATTAGACAACATGCTTAGGAAAAACTTCAATGAAGAAGACAACACATTACGTGTTTTGATTTATTGGCTAAACTGAGATGCAGAAAGTTGACAAATCTCTAACACTATTACAGCTACATATTTAGTTTACCAAACACTAACAAACAACACTCTAGTGTACATAGAACAAACATATATAACTTCTAACTAAATTTTACATACTAAGAATCAAGTATACTGTGGTTACTTAAAAGCAAATCAAAGAAAATTAGTTTTACCTGGAAAGTGGACTCTTGAGTGCTATAACAGACGGACCATGCGCCTTGATGTCAAACTAACGGTCTCTTACCGTGTAACTCTGTCACTATTGTCTTAACAGTCCACATTCGCATTTTACACAAGCCTTCTAGTTCTAATCAACAGGCTACGGAGCATGCATTCGTAATTTTACAATGGAGACATGTACACTACTGAAAGAAAACAGTAAATAAGAGGTCACGTTGCTAAAAGATATCTACAAACCTCTCTTACGACTGAAATGATACCAAGAAATAGTAGTTTGTGATAGACGACAAGGGCCCAAGAGTACGTGATATTAATCCTTACATGGTCACCGGAAAGTCTTCGCTGGTGTGAGGTTGTATGTGGACTAACTGCCCAAAAATTTTCTACATTTCTCACATGTGTGAGTTGTTAACATTATGCATTTGCTTCGCAAATGTTACCATACTAATTAATTTGTATAATACCTTCAAACCTTGCTGCTGACACATATGATGCCAGATGATGCTGTGTTTACACAGACTTCGGCAGGCTTTCATCGGTGTGAGTTTTCATGTGGGTTGTCAGATCACGTGAATATCGAAATCTTTTGTTGCATTTTTCGCAAGAGTACGGTTTCTCACCACTGTGAGTCCTCATGTGTGACTTCAGATTAGACAACTGAGTAAACTGTCTGCTACACTCCTCACAATTGTACGGTTTGTCACCAGTGTGAGTCCGCGTATGTGTCTTTAATTGTGACAGTGTCGTAAACGACCGGCTACACTCCTCACATCTGTACGGTTTCTCACCTGTGTGAGTCCGCATGTGCTCCTTTAGATGACCCAGCCTACTGAACTGCTTGCTGCACTCTTCACACTTATAAGGTTTTTCACCAGTGTGAGTCCGTATGTGTTTCTTTAGATCTGACAAGTTACTGAATGGCCGGCTACACTCTTCACATTTGTACGGCTTCTCCCCAGTGTGAGTCCGCATGTGTGTTTCCAGCTTACTCAGTGTTATGAACTGCCTGCTGCATTCATCACACCGGTACGGCTTGTCACCAGTGTGAGTCCGCATATGAGTCTTGAGATTACTCAGCTGACTGAACCGCCTGCTGCACTCCTCACATTTATATGGTTTCTCACCAGTGTGGGTCCGCATGTGAGTGTTCAGACTACCCAGGTCAGTGAACCGCATACTACATTTCTCACACCTGTAGGGTTGCTCACCCGTGTGGGTTCTGATATGCCTTTTCAGCTCACACAGCCTACCAAACCACCTGCTACATTCCTCACATTGATACGGTTTCTCACCAGTGTGAATCCGCATGTGTCTCTTCAGACTACTCAGCAGACTAAAGCCTTTCTTACATTCCTCACATCGATAAGGTTTCTCGCCTGTGTGCGTCCGCATGTGTCGTCTCAGATCAGTCCGTTTAGGAAACTCCTTGCCACACTCGCTGCACTTGTGGACACTGGAAGAATTCTGCTTTCCACGTCTGCTCTCTCCGTCCTCTTGTTTCAGACGTGATTCAACTGTCGCCATATTGATCAAACCTACGGGATTAATGTCAAATACAACATTAGGTATTTGAGTTAAATTTTAGACACTGTTTTTGAGGGCCAAAAAACTTTCTGAGGGATTAAAACAACAACATTAAACCTTGCTCACAAAATCATTTTGCAGGCTGATGGATTCTTCAAATGCATAGTTCGGCACGCTAAGGATATAATATATGTGACCAAAACAAAATGCCGCATGACAGTAAATACAGGAAATCGAAATCACTTACCAAGATTCACTGATGCCCCAAAGTACGACGACACAGATCCTGACGGCTGCAGGGTCAGTACTGACAGAAACAGAGCAGTCAGGGACGCGTTTATATAGGGACTGGGTGGGTGGATAAAACCGGTCCAGTAGGTTTTACTTGACTACGACACAAAGGAAAGCACCATGCTGATTTGCATGGAAGGGGGGGTGAAGATCTTGGATTTTCTACTTTCTGACTCCCCTTTCATTATTATCCAAGGGCCTTGAACCCCCCCCCCTTCATCCAGGAGCCTTGGCCCCTTAAAAATTCTATCCAAGCGACTTGACCCCCTATAGTTTAATCCAAATCCAGGGTTAAACCCCCCTCAATCGAAATCCACACTCACTAACCCCCTTATGTAAAATCCGATCTCTTCAATCCCCCTACTCAGTTATTTTTTGAACGGCCCAAATATAGGTCAAATCATGTCAACTCGGTCAACTCGGTCAACTCGATCAACTCGGTCAACTCGGTCCACTAACCTGGTCAACTCGGTCAACTCGGTCAACGCGGTCAACTCGGTCAACTCGATCAACTCGGTCAACTCCGGTCCACTACTGGTCAACTCGGTCAACTCGGTCAACTCGGTCAACTCGGTCCACTACCCTGGTCAACTCGGTCAACTCGGTCAACTCGGTCCACTACCCTGGTCAACTCGGTCAACTCGGTCAACTCGGTCAACTACCCTGGTCAACTCGGTCAACTCGGTCCAACTCCGGTCAACTCGATCAACTCGGTCAACTCGGTCCACTACCCTGGTCAACTCGATCAACTCGATCAACTCGATCAACTCGGTCAACTCGGTCAACTCGGTCAACTCGGTCCACTACCCTGGTCAACTCGGTCAACTCGGTCAACTCGACTCAACTCGGTCAACTCGGTCAACTCGGTCCACTACCCTACGGTCAACTCGGTCAACTCGGTCAACTCGGTCCACTACCCTGTTCAACTCGATCAACTCGATCAACTCGGTCAACT